CCAGCCACATACCCTATCCTAAGGTGGCGGGTTTGAATCCAGCCCGGGCCCGCCAAACAATGATGGCTGCAACCAAAAAATAGCCAGGCATTGTGGTGGGCACCTGTGGTCCCAGCTACTTGGGAGGCGGAGGCAGGAGACTTGCTTGAGCCCAGGAGTTGGAGGTTGCTGTGAGCTGTGATGCCACAGAACTCTACCCAGGGGGACAGCTTGAGGCTCTATCTCAAAAAAAAAAAAAAGAAATTGTCAGTTTTCCAAAGTGACTATTAGTATATATTTCTACTAGCAATTTATGACATTTCAAGTTATTACACAAGATTCTAGTATGTAGTTCTTTTGTCTTTTAAATATGCATTTTATCCATTTGTCAACTTCATAACCATTGGGATATAGGCCTTGGGTACTTCCAAGTGGCACCCCAAAATTAGCATTTTCCTGATGACTAATAATGTTGAGCATCTTTTCCTGTGCTTATTGGCCATTTATCCCTTCTTTGGTAAAATGTTCAGATCTCGTGTCCATTTTTAAAATTTGGTTGTTTATCTGCCTATTATTATCATTATTTTTTTTTTTTTTGAGACACAGCCTCAAACTGTCCCCCTGGGTCAAGTGCCATGGTTTCACTGCTCATAGCAACCTCCAACTCCTGGGCTCAAGCGAGTCTCCTGCCTCAGCCTCCCAAGTAGCTGGGACCACAGGCACCCGCCACAGTGCCCGGCTATTTTTTGGTTGCAGCCATTATTGTTGTTTGGTGGGCCCGGGCTGGATTCAAGCTTGCCACCTTAGGTGTATGTGCCTGGCACCTTAGGGGCTTGAGCCACAGGAGCTGAGCCATCTGCATATTATAAAATTATGAGAAGTCTTAGTAATATATTTTGGATATAAGCTTTTAACAGGTTGTGTTTTGAAAATGTTTTCTTTAGTGGCACCCGTAGCTCAGTTGGCAGGGCACTGACCACCTACACTGAGGGCGATGGGTTCTAACCTGGACCTGGCCAGCTGAAAAAAAAAAAACAAAACAGTGCAACTGCAACAAAAAAAATAGCCAGGCATTGTGGTGGGCGCCTATAGTCGCAGCTACTTGGGAGGCTGAGGCAAGAGAATTGCTTAAGCCCAAGAGTTTGAGGTTGCTGTGAGCTATGATGCCATGGTACTCTACCCAGGGTGACAGCCTGAGACTCTTGTCTCAAAAAAAAAAAAAGAAAATATTTTCTTACCATCTTTACACTTTTGTGACAATGTCTAGAAGAGCATAAGTTTTGGTGAAGTACACTGACGAGCTGTAAAAGCATTGACACCCAGTATCGATGAACATACCTAGTTACAAGAGCTTGTTTTCTAACTACTCTTCTCCACTAAAAGGAACTAGGAGTCCTTGGAGAAATGGCTAATTCTAGGGCTGAGATGGAAAGAGGACCCTGGAATATTTTGAGTATCAAAGAGTAAGGAAGTGCTCAAAGAATAATGGGAATTAGTGAAAAGCACATCAGAAACATCTTGAAAGAGCTCCCACTGTTCAAATCTGAGATAATTTGAGCACCAAAAGAAATAGTAATGGATTCTAACTTATTTAATAACATAGGAAATCATGAGACTGAACTGATATAAATAAATAGGAGAAAAGCAGAAGCCCTTCCTATGGTAGGATGTCAACTAATAAATACATGAAATGATGGAATTATAAAATCACCATTTGCTAACCATCACAGTATAATTTATTCAGGCAAAAATCATTAATTGTTGATAAAACAAGTAGGTGAAAGTTTGTTGAAGAACATTATATTTACATAGTTTTAAATTATGTAGTACATCAATACACAGAATACACATTAATTACAAAGAAAAAAATAGTACCTTTCCAGTGGAGAAACATGGAAGATACTTCCTTAGCCAAGTCACTAAAGTTAACCTCATCAAAAATCAACAGTGTGCAACTCCTAATACCATGCGCTAAGAAGGACACATGGCTGCTGCTGTGATGTTCCTGCCAAAAAAGTGCATGATCTGACTCTGAACTACACGGAAATAGTAGACAAGCAGCCATACTGACATGTTCTGTAAGATAACTCACATTCTTCAAAACTTTCAAGGTTACAAAGGACAAGGAAAAAGAATGAGGAATTAATTGAAGGACTATGATTATTCTGAGTTGGGTAACAGTCTTGTATCAAAAAGAGGAAAAATATTATTTTCTATAAAAATCAGTACAATAAGCTCTAAACTTCTATTCCTTAGGAGTTTAGGCAAACTGGATCATCCAAGAAAGAGGGAGGAACTTCTGCATATACTTTTTGGAGGGTTGAATGATTTTTTTTCAAATGTTCATTAATTTGTATTTTTTCTGTTGTGAATTACCTGCCATGTTCTTTATCCACTTATATATTCATTGTATACATTTTCCAGTCTTGAGTTTGTTTATTGATTTTTGTTTTAACTTTTAAATTATGAAATTAAAACATTTCTTATTTAAAAAGTAAAGTGTATAAAGAGTATAAAGACCAAATGAAAGCCCCTCATCTCCACTTCCCACTCTCCAGATGTTCTCCTTCTCATTTCATTTAAAGTTTGCTTCCTACTCTTTCTGCTTCCTTTCACTCTAAAAATTTCTAAATATTTTTGTGAATTATTCATGCAGCAGAAGCATACACCTTAATGCAGGAAAGCAAATAGTCTCCAGTGAAAAAACGTTATGTTAACCTCTGTATATTTCATGACAAATGTATATTTATGTTCAAAACCCATGTTTATGCATAGTTAAGAATTTTTTAAATATGAAGACCTTATAGCAAAGCATATATACAACTGATATATAACTAATAATGCCTGTAGCCAACAGTAAGCTAGTGGCTTAAATTCTGGGCTACTGGAAGTCATTATGTAATCTTTGGTGTTATCCTTTGATTTTAATGAAACACATATAAGAACCTTTTCACTCTTTTATTTATTTATTTATTTTGTAGAGACAGAGTCTTACTCTATCGCCCTCGGTAGAGTGCCATGGCATCACAGCAACCTCCAGTTCCTGGGCATAGGAAATTCTCTTGCCTCAGCCTCCCGAGTAGCTGGGACTACAAGCGCCCGCCACAACGCCCAGCTATTTTTTTGTTGCAATTCGTCTGGGGCTGGGTTTGAACTCATAACCCTCAGTATATGGGGCCAGCACCCTACCCACTGAGCCACAGGCGACGTCCCACTCTTTTGTTGTAATGGTGTGAATTGAAATTGGCATTTGGGGTTATGTGTGGTGGCGCACACTTGTGATCACAGCACTTTAGGAAGCTGAGGTGGAAGGGTTGCTGGAATCTGCAGTTCCAGATCAGCCTGGGTAACGTAATGAGACGCTGTCTCAGCTATAATTATTTAAAAAATGAGCTGAGTATGGCCAGGCTTGGTGGCTCATGCCTGTAATCTTAGCACTCTAGGAGGCCAAGGTGGGTGGATTGCTTGAGCTCACAAGTTCAAGACCAGCCTGAGCAAAAGCAATATCCCATCTCTACTAAAACAGAAAAACTAAGGCAAGAGAATCGCTTGAACCCAGAAGTTTGAGGTTGCTATGAGCTATGACACCACAGCACTCTACCAAGGGCAATAAAGTGAGACTTTGTCTCAGGAAAAAAAAAAAAGCCGAACAAACAAAAAAATAGAGCCAAGTATGCTGGCATGCACCTGTAGTCCCAGCCATTTGGGAGTCTGAGGTGGGAGGATTACTTGAGCCCAGGAGTTCAAGGTTATAGTGAGCTATGATCATACCATGGCATTCCAGCCTGAGTGACAATCCAAACCCTCTCTCTAGGAAAAAACCTGGTATTTGGCTAATTTGTGCATGATACAGGGTGGAGGTAAAGATTAGTCTTCCTTCATAAGATTACCTAAATCTTTTGTTTTTTTATCCTTCATAAGATAATAGGATTTTCAAACTAAAGGGCCACTGAAAATTCTTTTATAATACCCTCCTTGTTTTGTAGATGAAAAACAAATGCTTGGAATATAGTAGCCACACCATAAATGTGTGTTGACTAAATGAATGAGTAAAATGAGGCCCATAGAAAGTAAGTGACCTGTTCCTAGTCCTCCTCAAGTTAGTGACACTTAACCTCTGTGGGTTTTTTTTTTTTTTTTTTTTTTTTGAGACAGAGCCTCAAGCTGTCCCCCTGGGTAGAGTGCCGTGGCATTATAGCTCACAGCAACCTCCAACTCCTGGGCTCAAGCGAGTCTCCTGCCTCCGCCTCCCAAGTAGCTGGGACCACAGGCGCCCGCCACAGCACCCGGCTATTTTTTGGTTGCAGCCGTCATTGTTGTTTGGCGGGTCCGGGCTGGGGATTTGAACCCGCCACCTTAGGTGTACGTGGCTGGCGCCTTAGCCGGTTGAGCTATAGGCGCTGAGCCTTTTTTTTTTTTTTTTTTTGAGACAGAGCCTCAAGCTATCCCCCTGGGTAGAGTGCCCTGGCATCACAGCAACCTCCAACTCCTGGGCTTAAGCGAGTCTTCTGCCTCTGCCTCCCAAGTAGCTGGGACTACAGGCACCCGCCACAACGCCTGCCTGTTTTTTTTTTGGTTGCAGCCATCCGTGTTGTTGGCAAGCTTGGGCTGGATTTGAACTCACCACCTTAGGTGTATGTGGCTGGCGCGTTAGCCACTTGAGCCACAGGTGCCGAGCCCTTACCTCTGTGGTTTAAGTAGTTGAACCAGATGTTAAAAGTGGTGCATTTGTTTACCCATTTAACACATGCTTATTGAATACTTAAGATGTTCTGTGCACTGTTCAGTATGTTATTATTTAATATTTTAAACTCCTGAGTTCTTAGAGGAGGAGAGTCATTGAGATTCCAAGCTATTTATAAAGTAATAATTGTCCATCCTGTGATACAGTGACCACTTGCTCTTCATTGCCTGGGAGGAAAGCCCATTGCTTTGGTTGTCCTGGAGCTTGGGAATGTGGTGTGTGGAATGAGAAATAGGCCTTAGTATGAACTGAACTTTTTTGTGTTTTTTTTCTCCAGCTGGAAGAGGAAAGATCTGTGCTCAATAATCAGTTATTAGAAATGAAAAAAAGGTAGGCTTTCTCTCTCTCTTTATTGTTGTATGTGTGTTTAATAAGGAAAATGTCAGAACAAATGTGGTAACTTGTAGTAGAAAACAAGTGACCTTATGTTCAGAAAATGGCACCGTTGATAGTTTGCTACACATAACTGACCAATTATTAAAATCCCTTTGCAGAGGTTTCACTATTCTAAAGCAAAAAATGTGAACATGTGTTTAAGCCATGTTTAGTTGCATTTATTCAGTGTTTTAAAATCAGCCTGTTGTTACCTCCTAGTTTCAGTAACCGAAAATAATATAATTTTACATATACTAGTTAATCTGGATATGATACTGAATTATGTTATATAAAATTTTTAATTTTCACTAATGGTAACATTGTTTTAAATATTTGTTTTCTGAAAAATAGCTTTGTTATTATTCATGATATTCAAATGGAAACTTAATACAATTTTTTCAATACTTTTAATAAGAATGACCATGGCCCATAGAAATAATTATTTAGAATCCTTGATGTTTGGGTGGTACCTGTGGCTCAGTGGGTAGGGCGCCAGCCCTATATACTGAGGGTGGTGGGTTCGAACCCAGCTCTGGCCAAACAGCAACAAAAAAATAGCCTGGCATTGTGGCGGGTGCCTGTAGTCCCAGCTACTCAGGAAGCTGAGGCAAGAGGATCGCCTAAGCCTAGGAGTTGGAGGCTGCTGTAAGCTGTGACACCACGGCACTCTACTGAGGGCAATAAAGTAAGACTTTGTCTCTTAAGAAAAAAAAAAAAAGAAGCCTTGATGTTTTATATCGTGACAGTCTTTGTCCGCCTTTTTAAAATGTGTACTTTTGTGTGGAGAAATTCTGTGTTTTATACTGCATGCCAAGCAGGTTTAATGTCTTCTATTGCTAAGAACCAGAGCCTATTCAATTGGTTGCTGTAGAATACTAAGTAGATGCGTATCACAACAGTGGCATGCTATTTTGATGATTGAAAATAAATCTAGTCTCCCCAAGAAAAAACTAGCTGGGCACAGTGGCTTATATTCCCAGCACTTTGGGAGACTGAGGTTCAATCCTCCTTTGGGAGGATCACTTCAGATTAGGAGCTTCAGACTAGCCTAGGCTACATAGCAAGACCCCATCTCTACAAAAACTTTTAAGAAATAACCTGGTGTGGTTGCCTGTGCTTATAGTCTTAGCTGCCCAGTTAGTTGGATTTTGCAGTGAGCTATCATTGTGCCACCGCACTCCAGCCTAGGCAGCAGAAATAAGAATCTTTAAAAAAAAAAAAAAGTAAAATGAAAACAAATAGCTTAATCAGCAGGGTATGGTGGCTAACTCTGTAATCCTAGCACTCTGGGAGGCTGAGGCAGGTTAATTGCTTGAGTTCAGAAGTTTGAGACCAGCCTGAGCAAGAGTGAGACCCCATCTCTACTAAAAATAGAAAAATTACCTGGTCATTGTGAAAAATTAGCTAGGCGCCGGTATTCCTGGCTATTTGGAAGACTCAGGCAGAAGAATCACCTGAACCCAGAAATTTGAGGTTGCTTTGAGCTATGATGATGCCACAGCAGTCTATCCAGGGCAACAGAGTGAGACTCTTTCTCAAATTAAAAAAAAATATATAGCTTAACCAATAATTCCTCTATGTTTATTGTTAAGTATTTTATTCCCACTTGTTAGGGCAGAGGAGGTTCCCCTAGGGACCTACTGAAATGTGGTTTTACTCTGGCAGTGTCTCCTCCTGCCAACATAGTGGTTGCTTAGGAATTGATAACTTTGTTTAGATAGATATTGAGGGCTTTATTTATTTAGATTTAGATATTTGGATTCCATATGCTACATTCTAAAGGACACTAGGCTTTGGTCCAGGGGTGCCTTTCCTTCTTTCTTTTTTTAATTAAATACTTAGATTCATTCTTTCAAATTTCACAAAGGTGGTGTTTATACTTCAGAATGCACGTGTTTTTACCACTGCCACACCCCTGCCCCAGCCAGATGTTCTCCAGGGCTCATGAGAGAGGTGACTAGTCTGCCATGCCTTAGCCTAGTTCCTGTGTACAAGCACAGCTCTGTTCCTTGTGGGCCTACAGGTATTTAATTTTCCATAAGTAAGGTTTTGTTTCTTAAGAACCTTGTGTAAGCAGTTATTAAGGACATGTGAAAAAATAAATAGGGTTTGTTCCTATGTCATTCTGGCAAGGGAGCACAAAAAAATAGGCTGGAATATATACTGACCCAATCTCCTTACATTCATGTAGCAGTTCATAACTCAACAAACTTACCTCATCTCAAAACAACCTAGTGAGACACACAGTGGGGCTTGTATTTTACAACAATAAAACTAGCAGGGTGCAGTAATGTGTACCTGTAATACCAGCTCCTGGGGAGGCTGAGGTGGGAGGAATGCTTGAGCCCAGGGCAGCATAGTGAGACTCCATCTCTAAATTAAAAAAATAATGAAACCAAAACTCAAAAAAGTTAGGCAGCTTTGCTAAGGACTTGGGACTAATCAATAACAGATGCAGGTTTAAGATTCAGATCTTCAGATTTGTATGCTGATTCTTTCTCACTTAAAGCTTTTTTATTTATTTTCTACATTAAAAAAATGATGCTACGTGTCATTAGTGATTACTATCATGTAAGTTTAAATTACATGCCTTTTACAATATGATTAGGCATGTGACTTTTGTCATGGCTTAAAAAGATGGAATAGGCTGGGTGCGGTAGCTCCACCTGTAATCCTAGTACTCTGAGAGGCTGAAGCAGGTGGATTGCTTGAGCTCTGGAGTTCCAGCCTGAGAAAGAGTGAGACCCCCGTCTCTACTAAAAATAAAGAAATTAGGCTCAGTGCCTATAGCTCAGTGGCTAGGGTACCAGCCACATACACCGGAGCTGGCAGGTTTGAATCCAGCCCAGGCCTGACAAACAACAATGACAACTACAACC